ATGTATATACATGGTAAATATGTAGTACTTACGAACAAGTGGGTACAAATCGGCATGTCCGTACAGTATAAACATGGACCAAGGTACTTATTGAGTAATTGATGGTAGGTGCCATTGCAGTTAACTTGCCTTATCTGATTCTGATTAACACTGATTCGCTTAACTAATTGGTCCAATAGGGGTTTTTGATGATGTACATTCGTAATAGTTATGTGTGTAGTATTTTGGAATTATACAGTAGCTACCAGACTCATATTTGCACTTACAACTCCTGATTGTCATGTTTCTAAATCACTATTTAAAAGGGCTGTGCCTGCTAAGTATTAACACTATGCAGTGCTGCACAGTTACTGCCGTGTTCCCAACCTCCAAACTGCAATGGCACCTATCATCAATTACTCAATAAGTACCTTGGTCCATGTTTATACCCCCCAACTTGAGTACCGCATAACGTATTCTGTACATTAACTAATAGTTACATACACCAGTACGTACATAGGAAGTATATGGAAATAGGACTGTAAAATAAAGTGCACCATTTTACATAAACATTACACAGGAATTACCAGTTCTTCAAACTTTGTTAAACTTTACCATGTATATACCATTAGTAAGTATAGTAATGTGTCTTATTAGTTACCATATACTGACACTGCCTGTAAGTGACTGTTATTACACACACTTGTTTGTAAGTACTACATATTTACCACGTGTATACCAAGTACAGTATGTGTCTTGTTTGTTACCACATAATACCACATTTTTCTGTAGGTGCTTTACCATGTACATATCATTAGTTTGTACAGTAATATGTCTTAGTAGTTACCATATACGGATACTGTAAGGACATGCCTGTTCGTACCCACTTGTCCGTAAGTACTATATATTTACCATGTATATACATTAGTAAGTACAGTAAAGTATCTAATTAGTTACCATGTACGGGCACTACCTGTAAGTGACCGTTATTACCCACACTTGTCTGTATGTACAATCTAATTACCATGCATGTACGACTTAAATACATCCGTGTTTCTTATTCGTTACTATGTACATACACTTCAGGTAAGTACCTTGTGTTACCACTCATTTGCCTGTAGGTACAAGATATTTACCATGTATGTACCAGGGAAGTACACGTACTGTAAAATAAAGTGCTACCGAGAAGTCTTTCAAAAATATTTAAAAAACCTTATGGACCCCAAATTTCGAATGTTAGTGTAGGTTACGCCAATATGTTTAGTAAACTAATAGCACTGATTCATGTTCCGTTCACATTTATGAAGTGCATTAACCTCTGCTGCAGTTTCAGGTCCAATCAAATGGGAAAGAATAAAACTATAATAATCTAACTTCAGAGTTTGTGAGCATTGCCTCGGGTCATTTGCCGAAACAGAAGTTGTGCATGTCAGAGACACCCTTACAGTCATCCAATCAGAGCACATCTTGACTACACTACAAAGGGAAGAGCTGTCAGTTTTTGGTGGTGCTGCAAAAGCTCAGGGTTATGTTAGGCAAGGAGGAGAATCTGGTGTTGAGGCAGGCGAGGGTTGTGCTCTGATTCAATAACACTGGTAAGAACTCATTATGAATGCATAGGTAGCCTCCAGCTTCTGTTTCTCCTGAGCTTTCCAGGATTCCTGGCTCTCTATTTTTCTCCCTCTTCCTCTCCACTCTCTCCCACACCATTCTCATGGCTTCTCAACTGTGATGTATTTGAATCCGATCGATCATTTCGACTAATGCTGAGAAGAATTGATGTGGAACAGAGAATGAAAAAGATCATCGTCATCGTTTTCCCCCTTTAATGTGCTATATATATCACATCAAGGAAGGGTTGCATTGATAAACATCTGGTTCTTTTGACAGGAGTTCAAGTATTTTATAAAAGCAGTCTTGGTGCACTGAATCTAAACTACAGGGATGCAGGTTTTGCTGCGAGAGCCCAGCAGCATGAGCAGATCTCATTGTTTCAGAACTGCCTTGTGCAGAGAGGCAGAGAATGGAGCGGTTCCTCGGTACAGTTCTCCCGCTGTCACATTCAGCCTGTGATAATTAATCAGAGAGCAGAGAATGAATCAAAAGAACAGAAAAGGGGAATGACTCATTTGCAATGATTTTTTGTAATTCGCTGCTCTTGTTCAGTCTTGCTGGGATTGCTCTGTTAAACGGTATCCATTGAAATTGTGGTACAGTGATATTGTTCTAGTCTCAGACATTCAGGTTCAAGGTTGACCGAATCATTTTCAGCAGAAGAAATACAATAGACCATTTTTGATACAATTGATCTAAAATTACGGTACATTTAAAACCCCTTACAAAAATATTACTATTATGTGGTGATGGTGTCAGATGGAATGCCATAAAATTTTGACTTCTACCATGGTACTGAATGGTTATCATATTTAAATACCAATCTGGCTTCTCAAGAATACCATAGTACTACCAAGGCAAATGTCCGTAAGTGTGTGTGTGTGTGTGTGTGCTTTTTTTAAAAAGTGTATTTACAGGCTACTTTAATTCAACACTTACAAGTATTAAGAAATACCATATTACCATGTTTTTCTGACATTTACCATAGTGGTTTTAAGGTACATTTATAAGTACCTTTGAGTACCATGTAAATAGTACAAATTTCAGTACCATGGTATTACCTTCCCTTGTGAAAATTAACCATGGTTTTATTATAGTTGAAGTGTAGTAACCATGTTTTACTTCAAATACCATGGTTAAACTATGGTTAGTGTAGCAAACCCATAGTTAATTTGTGTTACCATGATTTAACTATAGTAACCATACTTTTTTTGTAAAGAAAAAACCTTGGCAATAATATTCAAAAGGCCATTGTGGTATATGGTATCAGATACTGAATGATTTCTGTTCTCATATTTACATGGTACTCAAGTTAGTTTTCAAAAAATGCTATACAATCACTATGGTAAATGTTTAAAAACAATGGAAGTGCCATGGTAAAAAAAAAAAGCCACAGTATTTTTTTCATAAGGGTAATATGTCCATAAAATCCATGGTATTACCATGGTACTTTTTGTTACTTTTTTGTTAGTGAAGATGTCTGTACTGTACATCAATTTTGTTCAGTTTTTTCTATGATGTTGATGGCTGTCGAGCAGCACCCTTTGACTAGATGTAGAGATGATTGTGTTTGTTTGTGTGTGTGTGTGTGTGTCTGTGTTCCATTGTGAATCTAAATATGTACCTGTCTCTGGGCAGCATGTCAGTAGTCCTTGGCAAATTGAAGGAAAATTCCTTACCTTGATTTGCAACAAACAAAAAACGGACGGCTTTATCATTCAGCTGAACCTCCAGAGCCACCTCCCTCTTCCCCTTTCCTCGACAACAGCGTAGTACATGGCTGTTTGGAATGGAGAGCCTGTGTACGCTGCTTTGACAGCTTGTCAGGCCATCCCATGATAATGAATTTCAAATGCTAGATATGCTCTCTATAGCCAGCAGCCAGTGTGTTCTTACACTGTTTGTGCTCTAACAGGGTGATCTACGGAAGCTCATGTAGTGTGTGTGTGTGTGTGTGTGTGTGTGTGTGTGTGTGTGGATGCCTAATACAAGCTATATCACAACATGATTCATACATAAGATTTATTATGGTGAATTCATACTTGTACTACCATCTGAATGTCACAGATGTCATATGTCAGTTAAATCGGCTTTCGGATCTTCGTTTTTCTCATTGTCTTTTCTTTCTTCTCCCTGTCTTTCTCTTCTAAAGGTCAAATGAGCTTCTCTGAGAGCTTCTTTGCTGCTGAATGCTGGGATAGTGCCTCTGCTATCGATTCACCATTTTGTGTTTTATTTTCCTCTTTTTCCCATCTTGTCGCACTCTGTATCTTTTACTGTCTTTTCCATCTGGACTCACTTTTGTATCAGTTCATCTGTTTGTTTCTACACATGTGCTTTATGTTCTTCCCCTAATTTTTATCCCCCACTTCAGTATGTACTTCCCATTTAATTTCCATCTCTCTTCGGGGGACAGTTTTATTGCTCGGAGGTTATTCTTTCATAGTTCATGAGACTTTAATGGGGTTTTCAGATATATTTCAATTAAGTATCAACATCATCTCAGATGTTTCTCATAAAATTCCTTTAGGAGAATAAAAAAAGTAAGTTATTGACAGTGAGAATATAGAGCTGTAAAACTAATGTGGAAAGCATAAAGTAGTTAATTTAATGTGAAATATAATATAATTTTAATATTGAAAATAAATACTACTAAATAATACTATTAATTTCTAGCAATAGTTTGATGAGAAATATTTGAGTTCATCTTGAAATATCTGTTGACCAAAGGTTTTAGCATCTTGGCAAAACTGAGTACATCTTGTTTATACATAAATCTGATTAATAAGTGGGACATTGTTGCGTTCTTTTCTGAACCTCTAGAGTAGATACGTGTGAGACTAGGGGTTTTTTTCCGTAGGAAACTCTTCTCAATAGGAAAGTCTTCTTATGCCCTACATTTATTTTAATTGGGCTTTTAATGCTAATAGGCAGCTGTTTTATTGCTCAATGGATATAAAATAAAGACATCAAGGTTTTCTACTTGATATTAGAACATGCCATGGTTTTTCTCTCATTCGGGAGGTCAGGGACTGATGTTGGGCAAAGGGGTCTGGATCATTCATGTTAAAGGTGTTCAGTGGTGTTCAGTTCTGGGCTTTATGCAGGCCAGTCAAGTTCTTCCACTCCAGACTTGGTAACCATTTCTTTATGGACCTCGCTGTGTCATGGGACTGAAAGGGCCCCTGTTTTGTCTTCACTGGAATTAGAGTCTAGCCAAAACCCATTAATTAGAGGGCCAAGTATTGTATTAAAGATATCATATTTATGACAATCCTCCTCTCCCTCATTCTAAGTAATTTCTCCGTAATCTCCTCTGTAATTTCTCTATATTAATTTTCTGTCTGTTGTTTGTGCTTGTGTTCCTCTCTCATGTCTTTTCTCTGTTCTGTGTTTTTCCTCTGCAGCCTCTCTGGAGAGTTCACCGTAACTTGAGCATTCCTGGAGATCCTCTGTTCCTTGTCCATCTTCTCAGACGTCCACAGCACACACCAGACTCTGCGGTCTTCCTTCAGTCCAGTTCTCTTAAAACTCTCCTAAAGCAGATCTAGACCCTCCCTCTGACAGTCCTAAAAATGGATTCAACTGATCTTCAGTAGCTCTTTACAGCATATCAGATCCAAACTCGAAAAATCGCCTGGACTACTGATGTTCTCTTTTGGACAATGTGAAAGACCTGCTGCTGAATTATCTTGTTTGTTGTATGTAATCCTTTCTTCCTGGCAGTGCTCAGCACACAGCCTGTTAGCAAATCAGACTAGCATGATGTTCTATGACATGCCCTGGACTTCCTGGACCAGTACGGAAGAACAGTATCTATCTATCTGTCTGTCTGTCTAGATAGCTGTCTGGCTAACTAGCTATCTATAGCTAATTTGTCTATCTGTCTATTTAGCTAGCTAGCTAGCTAATGAGCTATCTGTATATCTAACTTGTTTATCTAGCTATCTGTAATTGAAATTTACATTTATAGCTAGCTATGTAGCTTATTAGCTATCTAGATAGGTAATCAAGCTGTCTAGCTGGCTTTCTAGCTATCTCTTCACCTGTTAATATTCTAACGAAATAGCAACATGTGGACTCCACCCTTTGCATTTCTGAATATTGCTCGTCTCTTCCTCTCTCTTTTGTCTGCAGTCTCTTAGTATAATGTAAACTGTCTGGTCGGCTTGCTTGGTTAGTTGTCTCTTTGTCTTTCTGTCCCCAAGCTTGAATTCCCTCGCCGTCCATCAAAAGCAAGATCCTGCAATTACGTATCCCGTAGACTGAACTGCACTGTGACTGTGACCAGGTCTCTTAAAAGACAAGCCCACCCTTCTACAGGGAGCTGCGTTCCACCCCAAATCCTTCTTTCATCACTGGACCAAATGTATTATACTCTCATCTCTTGATCCGGAGAGGTTGACCGAATCATTTTCAGCAGAAGAAATACAATAGACCATTTTTGATACAATTGATCTAAAATTACGGTACATTTAAAACCCCTTACAAAAATATTACTATTATGTGGTGATGGTGTCAGATGGAATGCCATAAAATTTTGACTTCTACCATGGTACTGAATGGTTATCATATTTAAATACCAATCTGGCTTCTCAAGAATACCATAGTACTACCAAGGCAAATGTCCGTAAGTGTGTGTGTGTGTGTGTGTGCTTTTTTTAAAAAGTGTATTTACAGGCTACTTTAATTCAACACTTACAAGTATTAAGAAATACCATATTACCATGTTTTTCTGACATTTACCATAGTGGTTTTAAGGTACATTTATAAGTACCTTTGAGTACCATGTAAATAGTACAAATTTCAGTACCATGGTATTACCTTCCCTTGTGAAAATTAACCATGGTTTTATTATAGTTGAAGTGTAGTAACCATGTTTTACTTCAAATACCATGGTTAAACTATGGTTAGTGTAGCAAACCCATAGTTAATTTGTGTTACCATGATTTAACTATAGTAACCATACTTTTTTTGTAAAGAAAAAACCTTGGCAATAATATTCAAAAGGCCATTGTGGTATATGGTATCAGATACTGAATGATTTCTGTTCTCATATTTACATGGTACTCAAGTTAGTTTTCAAAAAATGCTATACAATCACTATGGTAAATGTTTAAAAACAATGGAAGTGCCATGGTAAAAAAAAAAAGCCACAGTATTTTTTTCATAAGGGTAATATGTCCATAAAATCCATGGTATTACCATGGTACTTTTTGTTACTTTTTTGTTAGTGAAGATGTCTGTACTGTACATCAATTTTGTTCAGTTTTTTCTATGATGTTGATGGCTGTCGAGCAGCACCCTTTGACTAGATGTAGAGATGATTGTGTTTGTTTGTGTGTGTGTGTGTGTGTCTGTGTTCCATTGTGAATCTAAATATGTACCTGTCTCTGGGCAGCATGTCAGTAGTCCTTGGCAAATTGAAGGAAAATTCCTTACCTTGATTTGCAACAAACAAAAAACGGACGGCTTTATCATTCAGCTGAACCTCCAGAGCCACCTCCCTCTTCCCCTTTCCTCGACAACAGCGTAGTACATGGCTGTTTGGAATGGAGAGCCTGTGTACGCTGCTTTGACAGCTTGTCAGGCCATCCCATGATAATGAATTTCAAATGCTAGATATGCTCTCTATAGCCAGCAGCCAGTGTGTTCTTACACTGTTTGTGCTCTAACAGGGTGATCTACGGAAGCTCATGTAGTGTGTGTGTGTGTGTGTGTGTGTGTGTGTGTGTGTGTGGATGCCTAATACAAGCTATATCACAACATGATTCATACATAAGATTTATTATGGTGAATTCATACTTGTACTACCATCTGAATGTCACAGATGTCATATGTCAGTTAAATCGGCTTTCGGATCTTCGTTTTTCTCATTGTCTTTTCTTTCTTCTCCCTGTCTTTCTCTTCTAAAGGTCAAATGAGCTTCTCTGAGAGCTTCTTTGCTGCTGAATGCTGGGATAGTGCCTCTGCTATCGATTCACCATTTTGTGTTTTATTTTCCTCTTTTTCCCATCTTGTCGCACTCTGTATCTTTTACTGTCTTTTCCATCTGGACTCACTTTTGTATCAGTTCATCTGTTTGTTTCTACACATGTGCTTTATGTTCTTCCCCTAATTTTTATCCCCCACTTCAGTATGTACTTCCCATTTAATTTCCATCTCTCTTCGGGGGACAGTTTTATTGCTCGGAGGTTATTCTTTCATAGTTCATGAGACTTTAATGGGGTTTTCAGATATATTTCAATTAAGTATCAACATCATCTCAGATGTTTCTCATAAAATTCCTTTAGGAGAATAAAAAAAGTAAGTTATTGACAGTGAGAATATAGAGCTGTAAAACTAATGTGGAAAGCATAAAGTAGTTAATTTAATGTGAAATATAATATAATTTTAATATTGAAAATAAATACTACTAAATAATACTATTAATTTCTAGCAATAGTTTGATGAGAAATATTTGAGTTCATCTTGAAATATCTGTTGACCAAAGGTTTTAGCATCTTGGCAAAACTGAGTACATCTTGTTTATACATAAATCTGATTAATAAGTGGGACATTGTTGCGTTCTTTTCTGAACCTCTAGAGTAGATACGTGTGAGACTAGGGGTTTTTTTCCGTAGGAAACTCTTCTCAATAGGAAAGTCTTCTTATGCCCTACATTTATTTTAATTGGGCTTTTAATGCTAATAGGCAGCTGTTTTATTGCTCAATGGATATAAAATAAAGACATCAAGGTTTTCTACTTGATATTAGAACATGCCATGGTTTTTCTCTCATTCGGGAGGTCAGGGACTGATGTTGGGCAAAGGGGTCTGGATCATTCATGTTAAAGGTGTTCAGTGGTGTTCAGTTCTGGGCTTTATGCAGGCCAGTCAAGTTCTTCCACTCCAGACTTGGTAACCATTTCTTTATGGACCTCGCTGTGTCATGGGACTGAAAGGGCCCCTGTTTTGTCTTCACTGGAATTAGAGTCTAGCCAAAACCCATTAATTAGAGGGCCAAGTATTGTATTAAAGATATCATATTTATGACAATCCTCCTCTCCCTCATTCTAAGTAATTTCTCCGTAATCTCCTCTGTAATTTCTCTATATTAATTTTCTGTCTGTTGTTTGTGCTTGTGTTCCTCTCTCATGTCTTTTCTCTGTTCTGTGTTTTTCCTCTGCAGCCTCTCTGGAGAGTTCACCGTAACTTGAGCATTCCTGGAGATCCTCTGTTCCTTGTCCATCTTCTCAGACGTCCACAGCACACACCAGACTCTGCGGTCTTCCTTCAGTCCAGTTCTCTTAAAACTCTCCTAAAGCAGATCTAGACCCTCCCTCTGACAGTCCTAAAAATGGATTCAACTGATCTTCAGTAGCTCTTTACAGCATATCAGATCCAAACTCGAAAAATCGCCTGGACTACTGATGTTCTCTTTTGGACAATGTGAAAGACCTGCTGCTGAATTATCTTGTTTGTTGTATGTAATCCTTTCTTCCTGGCAGTGCTCAGCACACAGCCTGTTAGCAAATCAGACTAGCATGATGTTCTATGACATGCCCTGGACTTCCTGGACCAGTACGGAAGAACAGTATCTATCTATCTGTCTGTCTGTCTAGATAGCTGTCTGGCTAACTAGCTATCTATAGCTAATTTGTCTATCTGTCTATTTAGCTAGCTAGCTAGCTAATGAGCTATCTGTATATCTAACTTGTTTATCTAGCTATCTGTAATTGAAATTTACATTTATAGCTAGCTATGTAGCTTATTAGCTATCTAGATAGGTAATCAAGCTGTCTAGCTGGCTTTCTAGCTATCTCTTCACCTGTTAATATTCTAACGAAATAGCAACATGTGGACTCCACCCTTTGCATTTCTGAATATTGCTCGTCTCTTCCTCTCTCTTTTGTCTGCAGTCTCTTAGTATAATGTAAACTGTCTGGTCGGCTTGCTTGGTTAGTTGTCTCTTTGTCTTTCTGTCCCCAAGCTTGAATTCCCTCGCCGTCCATCAAAAGCAAGATCCTGCAATTACGTATCCCGTAGACTGAACTGCACTGTGACTGTGACCAGGTCTCTTAAAAGACAAGCCCACCCTTCTACAGGGAGCTGCGTTCCACCCCAAATCCTTCTTTCATCACTGGACCAAATGTATTATACTCTCATCTCTTGATCCGGAGCCAATCTTAGGGTTTGACTCATGGTGGAATTCAATTAGAAGGCAGGATGAAGCAACTGAGCTCAGAGCTGTGAAACTGCAAAGAATCAGAAATGTGAGACGATTCTTTTTTTTCTTTTTTCTTTTTGGTTATGAAGGCAGGAGAAAGAAAAATAGATGACATGCCTCTCTGAAGTCTCATCCTGCCATTGGGAGAGACAAGGAAAGGAAGGGAATGTACTTTTAGGTATGTAATGTTATAATTATTAAAAAGTGTATAAACATGATTATTTTGGAGAAAAGAAGATGCGAGATGCCTGTCACTAGGAGCCTTGAACTTCCCATTCACTGTATCTTTTCCTCACGATCCTCACAAAGGCATCACTGTTAATATGACATGGCCATTTACTGTTACCTTTTTAACTTGGAAGCACATGGAAGTACTGAATCAAATGAACTGTGTCTTTGTATGCTTTGATCATTGCCACCTTTGTTTCAAACTTTCATTACTTACAAGAGCCTCAGGCATCAACAAGGCTTCTCACCACAAAGAGACTTACCACAATTGTAGCATGACTCCGCAATATTGCACACTTTCCACAAAGGCGCCAACACAGTCGCCGATAAAGGTCCATGACAGCGCAGACCCGCCATTGATTAACCAGAGCGGCTCCAATTGTTTTGAGGGCTACAGTAATAGGTTACATGCTGCTGATCATGGCATCCGGCCATGCCTGTGATGGAAGGTTTGCCTTACATGATACTTTAGATTGCAATGAGATCCAAAAATTGAGTGGTATCGATTAGACCTTGTCGATTAGATCTCATATTGGCTCTTGTTTGGCTCACAGGATGGAGTCAATACTGGGAATCTGGGGGAAAGCATGTTCCAATTAAAAACTAGCTACCATTTCATGCCTTTGTGGGGCCTTGGTGTTTTTTATAGCTCAGAGAGGGCTCAATGCCAGGGGCTTTTGATGACTGGGGTAACTTGTGAAGGGCTAAGAGGGTGAAAACCGAAATGGTCATTGGTTTTATAGCTGCTAAACTAGAATAGATCTCACTATATAGAGAATTTGTGGTTCTTTAAAGAGAAGTTTTTAAAAGGAAATCACATTTTTGCTCAAAATGCTTTTGTCTTGGACAGTTTAGATGAGCCATAGTAGGAAGTGACAAACAATACACAAGCAACTCTAAATCAGCTATAAAAGACACTGAAGGAGAGTTT